TTTTTTTTTTTTTTTTTTTCTCTTTTCTTTCTGTCTCCTGCTGTCTCCTCCTTTATCTATTTCTCCCGCACCAGCAGCAGCAGCAGCAGCAGCAGTATATAAACAAAAACAAAAATAAAAATAAAAACAAAAATAAAAATAAATATAAATATAAATATATGCATGCATGCGCATGCAGCCCCGAAGACGACAGCGGCTGCAGCACAGCTGAGGTGATGGCGATAGAGATGGTACCAGTGGACCACTTAGATAAAGAAGCAGCAGCACAGCAGCTGCAGCAGCTGCTGCAGCAAGCAGCAGCAGCAGGTGACCAGTGGACCAAAACTAAAGCCTTGCTGGGGTAATACATACACACACTCCTTTTTGCTGCTGCTGCTGCTGCTGCTGCTGCTGCTTGTTGCTGCTGCTGCTGCTGTTAGGAGTTGCTGCTGCTGCGGCTTGCTGCTGCTGCTTGTTGCTGCTGCTGCTGCGGCTTGTTGCTGCTGCTGCTGTTGCGTGTTGTTGCTGCTGCTGCGGCTTGTTGCTGCTGCTGGTTGGTGTTGCTGCTGCTGCTGTTCGGCGTTGCTGCTGCTGCTGCTAGTTGCTGCTGCTGCTGCTGCTGTTGTTGCTAGTTGCTGCTGCTGTTGCCGTTATTTGTTGGCGCGAGTTGCTGCTGCTGTCTGCTGTTGCTGCTGCTGCTGCTGCTGCTGCTGCATGCAGATATCTATACAAATTTATATTTATATACATTTATATATATTATATATTATTTATATATTATATAATATATATATTTATTTATATATTTATTTATTTATTTATTTATTTATTTATTTATTTATGCATGCGTTTGCTGCTGTTGGGGTGTATAGGCAGGAGCTGCTGAGCGCCGTGATGAGGTCGGCCCCCTAAACCCTAAACCCTAAACCCCAAACCCTAAACCCTAAACCCTAAACCCTAGCTGCTTCTTTCTAGCAGCCCCCAACCCGAACCCTAAACCCTAGACGGCAACTGTTGCTGCTGCAGGGTTTAGGTTCTAGGGTTTAGGGTTTAGGGTTTAGGAATATATGCTAAACCCTAAACCCTCATTCGAGGGTTTAGGGTTTAGGGTTTTGCGTAAACCCTAGAAACTCAAAACACTTTCAAATTATGTACTGGCCACCAAACCCTAAACCCTAGCCACCAACCCCTAAACCCTAGCCAGCAAACCCTAAACCCTAGCTAGCAAACCCTAAACCCTAGCCACCAAACCCTAAACCCTAGCTCGCAAACCCTAAACCCTAGCCACCAATCCCTAAACCCTAGCTAGCAAACCCTAAACCCTCGCCAGCAAACCCTAAACCCTCGTCAACAAGAGCGAAATTCATTTGATCTGCGCTGTGGGGCCGGCTGTATGGATGCCGGGGAGGAGGGGTG